ATAAGAGCAAACTATTCTCAATTTCTGCTTCATGTCTACCTCAGATATTGCCAGATGGTTATATTAGGAATGCCAGTTTCCAACACAATTAAATATTAAAGTAGATAGGGGCATGCTTGACACATTATGTATCTTGTCTTTATTATAGGGGAAATAATTCTATTGTTATAAAGGGACTCAATTAGTAATATTATATCCAGGATATAAATTGAATTGGAAACTAATATTACTTCATAACTTACTCTCAAACCTTAATTTACACCTTATCCAACGCTTTTTCTACATCTACTGAAGCCTAAATGGCCATTTCATTTCTAATATATACTGTACATTCAAGGCTTCCATTATTTTATTTTCCTTTGATCAAAAAATGGATTGATGCTAAAAAAATGCCACCAAGCATCTGGAGAATAGTTCCTTAGTGCCGTTCTTCCTCTTCTGAAAAGTACTGTCAGCTTGAATGTTGAAGTAGTGTTGAGGTCTATATGTGAAGTGACAGGAGTGCAACACATTATTGACTATCTCTCCCCTTCCCCCTCCCTTATTCTCTGTGAGCAACCTGCTCAGGGAAACAGGCTGGAAAATAAAGTGTATACACAGGAAAAATGATTGCTATAAATATCAAATGTAAGGCCTGTTTTGAATAGAAGAACTTTTCTTAAAGATTATTTCTAAGTTTCAAATTGTCTCTCATCCTGCAGCATTTCAACAACGATTTCCTACAGATTTGCGTGTCTACAGCTCAGTCTATCTTTTGAATATTTCTAAACAACAGAAACTGTATTTTTATGCCTCATACAATATTTCCTCTCCAGTTCAGACCAAGAAAGAGAAAGAAGGAAGTTGGATGGAACCAAAAAATGTAGAGGTTGCTTCCAATAAAAGCTGCATGCATCTAGGAAGAGTCAAAGAACAGTTTCCAAAATAACAGATGGCAGAAAAATCAATTTTGGCCCAAATCAAGAGCAAAAGTAGCAGCAACAGCATGTCTCTTAGATGGATATGCAGAAGTCAGCTCTTTCTCCCTGAGCGCAAGAAGGATGGCCATCATTTTGTACCTTAAGACGTGTACAAAAATTATAGTGGAACCAAGCCTCAGAGGGAGATCCAGACTTTCAACCCTGAAGTCTTTCTTTAGATGCAAAATTGATGCAAAATTGAGCTGAGTTTGAGTCCAAAGACCATCATGATTGGCTCAGCTGATTTTCAGGACAATGAGCTTTGCATAAAACCATATCCTCAGAACTAGAATGGTATGACATCAAAACCTATTTCTTATGGGGGAAAAAAAAGATATTTATTAGGGTGATTGGGTACAACATACAATCGTGTCTGTAAGTTTGAGAAAATAGATGTGGAAACTTCATAATGCAAAATTTTTGCAATTGCCATTCATAGAATTAAGAATGTACGTCTCTGTCAGATTACTTGATCAAAAGATTGTTCCTAGAAATAATGTATAGTTTACATTCAGAATGTGGTGTCAGCTTTTATATGCTACCGTAGTTATATTTGTAAATTTTAGAAAGGCTGTATAAAGTATAAAAATAACCATTTTTTAATAAATAGGATTCAGTCTAATTCAATCTGGTATATAATATAAACATTCTGAGCAAGAATATTCTTGGGTGGAACTATTAGTTGCTTGGCTAGCTGCTGGTTCTTAAGCAAAAGGTATATCTTAATTTAGTCTGACCATTAATATTGGCAGAATAACATAGATGCTAGATATTCTAAGGGATTCCCTACAGAGCTTTCCTTTAGTTTAAAAAAAAGAAAATGCCTGCAGCATTTGTTTCCATGGCAATAACAAGATTATTTGCAATAAATATCCTTAAAAATCTGATTGATTAATATGTATAAATGAAATACTGCAAAGGAGAAGACATATCTTGTCTTAAGACAGCAAGCAATTATTCCACATTATTGTGTATAGAACTCTAAAGAAAAAGCCTGGTATTGCTTAATTATGGTAATTTGTAATCAACATATAAAGTCATGTAACTGTACTGTGTTTCTCTGAAAATAAGACCCTGTCTTATATTTTTTTGAACCCTGAAATAAGCGCTTGGCCTTATTGCCATGCACTCAAAAGCCTGATTGGGCTTATTATCAGGGGATGTCTTATTTTGGGGGAAACAGGGTATTTACTTGCACACTGAGAGTTAAACTCACATATTCAATTGCTTTTAGTTTTTGGAGAATAAATTAGGATAAATATTAAATGAAATGCCAGTTCAGAAGTCCTTTACAATATGGGGAGTGTTACATTCGTTATTTAAATATTTTTTAAAAGACAATTGCTCAAAATATAGCAACCAGAACATTAAGAATTGTTCAGAGCATTCATAAAGATCTAAAAACAAACAAATACAGACAGGAAATGGAAAGAGGACCAAATCACAAAGGAAAATTACAGACAGACAGCCTTGAATTGCAGAGCTGGCGTTAGGAAAAAAGAAATCTCAGAATGAGCTGAAATTAGCAAAGGATGGTAATGAAAATGGCTTCTTTAGATTTGTTCAAAAGAAAAGGAAAAGACAAGAATCAATATACCAGCTGCTCAATGAAGATAGCAAAATATGTGTAACTAGAAAAGGGTGAGGGGGGGCAAAGCCACTCAGTATTTTATTTGATCATCATGTTCAAAGGAACAACAATTATGTGTTCCATCAGGAAATGTGAAAAGCAGGATAGTTTAAAAATAGTCAAGGAATATCCTTTTACTTTGATTTGCATCCTATGGTACTGGAAGAAATAGCTGGTGATCTGGATGAACCCTTATCAAGTATCAAGTAACCTTGACAAATATTTTATCACAGGTTGGTGAGCCCCCAAATGACTGGAAGAGGGCAAATGTCCCTCTCTTCAAATGAGAAGTGGAGTCCAACAAATTGCAAAATATATAGTCTGACATTGATACCCGGGAAGATTCTAGGGCTTGATTCATCTAAAAAGTACCACTTTAAAGAGATTGATTTAAAAGTACCTGGAAAAAATGCAGTATTTGCTAGAGGTCAGTATGGATTTATCAAGAACAAATCTTGCCAGAGTACTCTTATCTCATATTTTGTTGGTGAGAACATATTTCTTGGCTTTAGCAAAACATTTGGCACAGTAATATCTGACATGATAGTTAGCAGGTTAGCTAACTGTGGCAGGACAAGTGGATACACAGCTTTCTCAAAAATCATGTCAAAGAACATTTATCATTTTTTTGTCATAATATCTACCTTTCATTATATTTTTACAGAATTGTCATTAGTGACATCTGGGATTCAGAGAGTGCTTATCATGTAGTGGATGATGCAAAATTGGGTGGAATAGGTAATAGTAGATAAAAGTAACATTCACGGAATCATAGAGTTGGAAGGAAACTTGGAGATCTTCTGATCCACTTCCCTGCCCAAAGGCAGGAGTCCTTATAGCAATACCATCCTGGATTAATGGTTGTCCAATCTTTTCTTAAAAACCTCCAACGATGGGGCATCTGTAACTATTCAAAACAAGCTGTTCTATTGGTTGATTGTTGTCACTGTCAGGAAATTCCTCCTTGTTCCCAGGTTGAATTTCCCTCTGATGAGCTTCCATCTATTGCTTCTTGTCCTGACCTCAAGTGCAATGGAAAATAAACCAATTCCCATTTCTCTATGACAGTCCTTTAAGTACTGGAAGATTCATATCAGGTGTCCCCTACAGCTTCTCTTCATTAGACTAAGCCTGCCTTGTTCTCTTAACCATTCATCATACAATTTAGCCTCCAGATCCCTTATAATTTCTGTTGCTCTTCTCTGCACTCTTTCTAGGGCCTCTGTGTCTTTTTTTGTATTGGGATAACCAGAACTGGATGCAGTATTCCAATTGTATCTCACGATTGCATTCCAGAGTGCTACTTCACTTATCTTGATCTTGATGCTATCTTTCTATTGATGCAGCCTGGGATTATATTGTTTTTTTGGCAGCTGCAGCACACTGCTGACTCATACTTAAGTGGTGGTTTACCAGAACACCTAGATCCTCTCATAGGCACTACTGTTGTACCTATACCTGTGCATCTGGTTTTTCTGCCTAAGTGCAGGACCTTACATTTCTTACCACTGAACTACATCTTGTTGAATAGAGACCAGTGCTCAAGATTCTTCTCTTGAATCTCATCTTCTAAAGTGTTAGCAACTCTCTCTAGCTTTGTGTTATCCGCAAATTTGATGAGCTCCCCTTCAGTTCCCTCATATAGGTCATTTATGAAGATATTGAAGAGCCCTGGACCAAGACAGAACCTTGAGGTACTCCACTCTGTGCTTCCCTCCATGGACGTGTAGTTCCATTGAGGAGTACATGCTAAGTGTGATTGGTCAGCCAACTGCAAATCCATCTGGTGGTGGTACTGTCTAACTTTCATTCTTCTCCCATGGTGTTGATTTTGATAGATTGGATTATTTTTCCTTTCCTTCCTTCCTTCCTGGAGGTAATTAAATTTTATAATTCATTGACTTATAGAAACCTGACAGTCCTAATATAACTAAAATTCCATAGAAGAAATTACATTAACAATTAACATTTGTTTGTTGTAAAGAATACAAGTTTAGAAATGTGTTGTAAAGAGTATGGCATAATCTTTGGCTGTAGTCTTTACAGCATTATTCACTTTCAGTACTTTAAGGAATTATATCATGTTGTTTGAATTTGGTTATAAAAGTATGCCAGTTTTTTTGATAAATTTTATGGATTACCAGTCTATCCATGTGAACTTGATGTTTCTCATTATTCCAAAAGGTATAACAAAAAAAATTATATAAAAGTTGTACAAAACGTTTCCAATTGAATATTAGAAAATAAAACTTCCTAACATTAAGAGCAATTTGACAGTGGATGGGTTCAAGCAAGGTTTGGATACCGTGGGATACTTTAATTTGGGTTCTTGCATTGAGCAGATGTTGGACTCAGAAGTGCAAATGTCACTTTCTACTCTGTCATTTAAGTTGATGATGTTCATTTTTCAGGCTAGTTCAGAATGTCTGTTGGATCCTCAGCAAGCTCAAGCTTTTGACCAGCTCTGTCGTCTATATCGTGGAACATCAAGGGTAATGTAATTTTGTATTTTCTTTTTAATACAAACTGGATCAAACCCTGTCATGCTTTCAGACATTGTATATCTGAAATATCAGAGCCGTGGTGGCGCAGTGGTTCGAATGCAGTACTGCAGACTAACTCACTGCTCACACCAGAACTTCGATTCTAAGCGGCTCAAGGTTGACTCAGCCTTCCATCCTTCCAAAGTCGGTAAAATGAGGACCCAGATTTTGGGGGGCAATAGGCTAACTCTGTAAACCACTTAGAGATGGCTGTAAAGCATTGTGAAGTGATATATAAGTCTATTGCTATTGCTGTTATAAAGATCATTGTTGTCATTGTGTTTGTCTTGGATGGAAAATAAACAAGGCATGGACATAAAAAAACACACTGAAAGAAATCAATGTCCTATCAGGTTCTAAATCTTATTGTGACCGACGAAATGTTTATTTGATGCCCATAAGCAGGAAATGCAGTAAATGTAATTGCTTTGCCTTGCTCAGGGATGTCAAACTCAAGGCCTGCAGGATGGATCCAGTCTGTGGGGTGCTTAGATCTGGCCCATGGGGCCACCCTGGAAACAGTGTGGGATCGGCCCGCGGTGCCTCTGCCAGCGAAAACGGGCTCCCACATGTGGCCCTCCCGAGCTCCATCTTCACTGGCTTTGAGGGTTTGCAGGAGGCCGTCGCAGCCAGAAACTGAGCTTGGGAGCCCATTTTCGCTGGCAGAGCGTTTTGGTCACCACATGACATGAGTGACATGAGTGACATTGAGCAGGCCATACCCACTCTGGCCACACCCACCCGGCCCCCTGTGGTGAAACACAACCCTAATGCGGCCGTCAATGAAATTGAGTTTGACACCCCTGGCATTACTTATTTTTAATAGCAACTTCCACTGAAAAGCATACAGCTCTGCCAGAGAAGATGAAATATTTCTCTGTCTTTATTTTCTTTAAACATTGCTTGATTTTTTTTTCAACTTTACCATAATTCATTTAACTATTTTTTCCCGAGCTAAACAGCCCTAGATAAACTACCTTTTCTCAGGGGAAGGTTTTTCCAGCACCTTGACCCATTTTGACTGCGTTCTTCCATGCCTTTTGATGCACAATAATATTTTAAATAAAACATTCAATTGTTCTGCATCAGACAGACACTCATTGGTAGAATGTCTGAAGTTTCATTCAGGAATGGTTCATACTTTCCTGAAGTATATACAGTATTTACATTTTTAGTTCTTAAACACTCTTTGTTTTCAGAACAATCATTCTGAAGTGCCATCATACTAAATTATTAACTAATATAAATATATATCTATATTCTAATGGATATACTTACAAAGTTATTTTTGTCTTTTCCAGTTAAAACTTCTACTAGGATTGTTTTTCTACATATGTGTAATTTACATGCATGTTTATTATGATATAGCCAAGAATGTTTTAACGCAATTGGTTAGAAAAATGCAGAAGTTATTGTTTGTGATTTTAATGAAAATTCAGGCAATATATAATGCCTGAATGCGTTGATCTTTCCTCTTTGAAATAATTTGTTTTTGCACTGCCTGTATAAACCTATCATTTACAATAGCAATGTTGCATAAATATATATGTATACATTTCTTTTATTTTGTAGTTGGCACTTTTGACTGAATTGTCTCGAGATCATGGTGGTGAAAAACATGGTTTTGTCCAAGTCTGCCAGAGGGATTCTGCCCTGAATAGTGTCTTCCAAAATGAGACTTTTCAGCTTCACCTCAATCCTCCTCCTCTTCTAGAAGACTAATCCTTGAGTATCAAGCATTGTGAAAAAATACTTCCAGTGTTTGCTGTGGATCCAAAGTAAAAGGTAGCAGTATGTATCTTATAAATAACAATGCAATCTTTGTGAGAACTGCCTGTTTTGATCCTTAACAAAACAGAACATCAGTGTCAAGCATTCTAGTCCTCATGTCCAGTGGATTTTGCTGAAAGCTATAAACTGCTCTCTGAAGCCTATACTTTTTTCATTTAAATTCAGAGTGAAGAATGGAACTTTACATTTGTTATTGGTTATAAAAGCTACAATGCAAGACAGAACTGGCAGAACGTTTATGAGATAGCTTTCTCTAATGTATTTCCTCTGCTCTCGGTTGCTTCTGAAAATCTATTAGCTCCTCCAGCTGCAGCTCAAGAAATGTTGCTGTGACAGATGCTATTCCTTGGAAATTTAACATACTAACATCATAAATGAGAAAATCTGTTAATGAAGCACATTAGAATATACCACTCAGCCAACTAGATATTTGATGTCAGTTTGTGTATCTTCTGAGTGCTTTCATGAGTGCCAGCTTTTCCACGGAGAGCTTACAGTTTCCAGTGTACCAAAAGAAACCAGCACATTACTCATTTATGATGGCTGCTCTCTTGCTGCCAAGTTGCATGGAAAAGATACCTTCTTCCATTATATATTGCCAGCTTCCTGAACCTTAGCCATTTATCTTTATGAATTCACTAAAGGATTACAATGTTGCTTTTTTCCTCCTTATCTTTGCCACACACAAAAAATGAACAATCTGGTACAGGAATATATTTTTGAAAATGAATGTTTCTGATTCCTGTAAATGATATTTAATAACCTTTTGTCTTTCCATTACTTACCATTTGACAATTTTACTTTATTTGTTCAAGAGATTTCCAGTTTCCATATGTGTAGACAGGAGCAAGTATAAATTAAAAGATATATAAAAACCAGAATTATTTGCAAATTTATACTAGACTATTTCATGGCTGAATTTACTATTTTTTCTTCATTTATCATTTTGTCAGAAAGTTGTTACCTCAGATTTGTACATATTTTTCTATAAGTGACCAAAAGTCTTATATCTGTTACTATCCACTTCCATATTACCGGTCTTCTACAGTTAGAGGCTATCAAAAATTATGAATTTATGTACTAATTACTGCCAATACAGGTAGTCCTTGAGTTAGGAGCACAACTGTGCCCAAAATTTATGTTGCTAAGTGAAACATTTGTTAAACAAGCTTGCCCCATTTTACGGCTTTTCTTGCCACAGTTGTTAAGTGAATCATTGCAGTTGTTAAGTTAGTAACATGGTTGTTAAGTGAATCTGGATTCCCCATTGACTTTGCTTGTCAGAAGGTCACAAAAATGGGATCACATGACTCAGGGACACTGCAATCGTCATAAGCATGAATCACTTGCCAAGCACCTGAATTTTGCTTATTTGACTGTGGGGATGCTGCAATGGTTTTAAGTGTGAAAAACTGTCATAACTCACTTTTTTCAGTACCATTGTAACTTTGAATGGTCATTAAAGGAACTGTTGTAAATCAAGGATTACCTGTATTCCTGCTAAAAGAATTATCTGGTCTACAGCTTTTTACATAAAAGGACGAACAATGGGTTAAGAAACATTGCAAAGTTATTTGTACTCCCAGTATTCTAAGGAAATACATTTTTAATATCCAGATATAAAAATACTAATGATTTTAGAATTATTAGAATGAGTGTATTCCTATTTCTTAGTCTTTTTTTATTTGGTTTATGTAGACAATGTTGTATGAACTGTTTACCATAAATATAGTTGCCTTCTTCAGTAACTGCGCGTATTCACGTTGTTACTGAAATAGGCAAAAATTACCTACTAATCAAGAATTCCTTGATCGCTGGGTGGATGAAATAACCCACAGAGGAATGCATTGATCAAGCTATATAATTCAGAAGTTACCTAGGCTTTGCAATGCTTTGTAATCAGTTTAAGAGAGATAAATCAGAATACAGAAAGTCCTTGACTTACAACCATTCATTTAGCGACCATTTGAAATTACAGTGGCACTGAAAAAAATGACCTGCAACTGATCTTTGCACTTACAACTGTTGCAGCATCACCACAGTCAAGTGATCAAAATTTGGGTGCTTGGCAACGGACATGTATTTACAATGGTTGCAGAGCCCTGGGGTCATTGATTGCCATTTGCAACTTTCCCAGCAAAGCTTCCAACAAGAAGGTCAATAGAAAAAACCAAGTTCACTTAATGATCATGATTCATTTAACTGCAGTGATTTGTTTAATAACCATGGCAAAGAGAGGTGGCTGCTTTACTTTACATATTTATTTATATAAAAGAAAGAAAGGTATCTGAAGACACTTAAAACCTGTTACTTTTTCATTTTCAGATGAATAAATGGTCAAAATTTTCATTAGTTGCTATTTTAATGAAAAAAAATCCTGTCAAATCTATGTTTTGAACATTGTTTTTATTTTATTTACAATCAGAAACCAAAAAGAACAGAACATAATACTGGAGTTATCAACCAATAAAAGAAAAAGTATGATAAGCCAAACACAAAATATTGTTTAAAAAATTCTGCTTGCTGTATTTTACAAAGCATAATCGGAGCTAGAAAAGTTCTAAAAAAGATCAATCAGGAGTATGAACAGTTCTTCAGATGAAAGAAATGAATGCTGGAGTTTTGATAAATAATGTATAGTTTGGAAAAGATTTTTCCCCCTTTTCCACTAAACATTCTTAATGAGTAGAATGATAAAATATTCAGAAGACACAAAAGGAAACCCTTAATCATATAGTTTAATTATGGAATTTGATGCCACGAGATATGGTGATGGCTATTAAAGTAGATGATTAGTTATAATAATTAACAGAATAGAGTTAGCAGTGCTTCTTGATGGGCATATGTTGTCTCTGAGATCAGAAACAGTATATTTCTAATATTTAAGTTGGTGAGAAACAACAGAGAGAATTAATATGTTCATGTTCTGCCTTTAGGCTTCCCAAGAAGTTTCTACACAATATTTATATTAAACAAAAGTTTGAGATCCAACAGTAGAAAATAGTTGTGAATATATTAATATATTACTAGTTCCTTTTATTTTATATGTACCTCTCACAATGGGATGAGGATCTCTATCTACAATTCACGCTGATCTTCCATACAATAAGCTTTGAGGCCATTTGCAGTTTCAGTTCTATGCTATGTACTAGTGTATACTATTCTACATCATACTGAAACATTGTAATAATTTTGATTTTATACGAAGAATCATCTGAGTTCTACATCGAAGATCTGATTCAGAAATTGTGTTGCCATTTAATGTTTGTAGCCCAAGCAGTTTCTTACATTTTGTCTTGCTATTCTCTAAAATAGTTTTTTAAATAGGTTAAGGGCTTTGTTTAATATCCCTAAAAAATCAAATTCTTGCAAAGCATTAATGAAAAAGAGATTCATTCAGTTTTACATCTCCACAGCGCCCAGATTTGATTAGAATTGGGCAGTATACAAATTCTCTTTGGTGAATAAAAAACAGGAATATATTTCAAGGCAAATATTAATATTAATCTTATTTATTTAAAGTGAAGATTCAGTGAAGGAACTCATCTGTCTTGTTTCACTTTAAATAATGTGAATAGTGGAAACAAAAGATTCCACTCTCAAGCTTCTCAGGGTCTTTATTAATTACGGTTTTCGAATAGTGACTTTCCATATTTGGCAAGTAAATTAAAACATCTGATATATTGAAACTTCTATAAAAGTTGAACATTGAAAGATTTTATAAAAATAAATATTGGTAGCAATAGAAGGATATTAATCTACAACTATTATCCTTTGGGATTGTAGCAAAGAAATATTTAACCTTTCTTAAAGCATTTAGGCCTTGTTTTGGCCATGTAAGTGAATTTTGATTATATAGGAAAAGTGAAGTTTGTAGTGTTATCTATTTATGATTATAAGAAGCTTCAAGTAAAATCAACTTTATGCCATTATTCATCCAATTGCAAGAGGTCAGATAGATAATCTGTTTTATTCTGTGTAACATTATCCTTCTGAATTGCTATAGTATATATAAAGTTGATGAAAGTTCTGGCAAATATTGCTAGAACATATAAATGTTTCTAAAATTGTCGTTAAAACCTTCCAGATGATTCTGCTCAAATATATATGGTTTTTGTATATGATTTTTAAATTTATTATCTAGACACTAAGTGCAGAGAGAGCAGAAATCTTTTTGCACTTTGTTCATCTATATTGGAAGTAAATAATAATTGGCAGAAGTACAAAATGTCTGGGTAGATATTAGAGGAAAGGCAAAGTAGTTCTAGAGTTTCCTGCATGAGAACTCAGATAATTACTAATGAAGTTTTTTTCCTTTCAAAAAGTTTAGAATGATTTTATAGAATGTGGTATTAATGAAACAGAGTGGTAACTGGACCTGTTACGCAACTCTTGTTTCTCAAGTGATGGTTGCTATGCTATGTCCAATTCAACTTACTTTACATGTCCATGTACATTCACGTATGATGAAAGATAACGTCAAACACACCATTTCACATTAAGACATGAACATTTGTAGTGCCACAAAACTGTGGAAAAGAAATCCACTTTACTCTATGGTTGTGCAAAAACAATCTTCACATTTATTATTTTGTGAGAAGTTTACATGAAACAATGATGTGCTCTTGAGAGTAGTTTGAGACACAATATTTACGTGCTGAATCAGCCAACCAAATCCTGCATGGCTTCTACTGAGGAAATCTCCAGAGAAGCCAAGAACAAGACAACTTTGACTGTTGTGCTTAAGATTTTGAAACAGAGTGATTTTAAGAGAGTAATATTGTATGCAGCTATTGCTCATTAATAGTCTGATCAAGAATGCCTCATGTAGGTAAGTCTATATTGATTTTCTCCAGCTCCCATTTCTCAGTTCAGAATACATTCATCTAATCTTAGCCTGATTAGATTGTTGTGCCTTCTGCCCTGCAAAAAAGTAGCATTATCACAATTCTTCAGTATAATAAACAAAACTAAAGGGTTCCCTCAAAACCTGCCATGTTTCTGCTCTCAAATGTAATTTCCAATTCCTCTGTAGTCCTCTCTGGGATTCCCAAAATTCCCAGTTCTTATTTTTTTTTTAAAAAAATGAGATAATCAGTCACAAACTTAACACAGCCAGACAAACTGTATTTTAAATCTCCAGTTCCAAATAATTTGAGTATATAATCATATTTTATGCAGTTTCTTCTATAAAATCCATAAGAATTCTTAACATCACCTGAGAAAATCTTTAAGAATCCTAAGATAACACTTCTATAGTGAAACAGTGTTCTCTTTAAAAATTAGAAGAATGCTGTAATTTTTCAGAACTACTAAGAAAGGATTTTATCTCTTATGATAGCTAAAGCTGTGCTGCTTCTTTCTTTTTTGGGAAATGGGGTCAAGAAATGCATTTTAGTATCACTTATCAGAATAAATTGTTTTACTTCTAAAGGTAATATTTGTATATTTTAAAGTACATATTAATTTTATAGTCATTCATAATACACTGCAATCTAAATATTTTCTAAAAGTGCCTATGTCTGAGTGTATGTATAAAAGTTAGTTATTAGTTATGTGTCAAGATTGTATATAAAGAGCAGCATTCAACAACACAGCATAAGATAATCTAATACTGAGAGTTACAACTGTACATATTTATATGTTACCATTCTTAGCTAAACTTAATGGAAAGTGAGTTAACTAAACCATTATAAATCAGGGCTATATTTATTAATAGATGCCCTAGTGTTACAAGAAAAAAAAATCAGTTATGTACCACAAGGGCGAATGCAAAAAGGTTAGGAGGTAACACATTTTCATCCACTGGTACATGACTATTTAAGTGTATTTGAAATTCTTACTTTAAAATATTGGGGAAAATGCACATTTACAGCTCAAAGGGCGATAATCCTTAAACTGATTAGCAGGGCTCTTCTTCTGACAGGATAACCATATTGTGTAAACTTAAAATGGAGGCACAAATACATCAGGGGTATAAAGATCTCTTTCCACTATACACTTTTCACTGTTTTATACTGAATAACATAAACAATGATTAAGCAAAGCTAGAAGAAAATAATTGGCGGCTTTTTTTTTTTTCAGATTGTTTCTTTAAATCAAAATACTGCATGTCAGAGGCTAAAACTACCATGACACCTTCTTTTCATCTAGCTACACTCAAACCTACTGTGCACAAGTGGATAATTTAAACAGATAATAGAGCCGGTACTAAATGTAAATCCCAAGTCACCAAATGTACAGATTAATAAATGGAACTATTAAATTCTATTGCCCTAGTTCTATACTGAAATACTTGCTTGTCAGTTCATATACCATTTACAATTGTTCTTCAGTTTGGAAGTGCATTGATTGAATGTATCCATAGCAAAAAACTCTTGTGTTAATCTCTTTAAAACAGATACTGTTACATCTCCTGATTAATTTTCCTGATTTTCCTAAACATCACAAGTTTATGGTTGCCCTTTGCTGAAGGCTTAATCTTTTTTCCCCTTTTCTTTTCTTGTTTTGTTTTGTTGTTTGACGATGGGTAAATACCAAGCTAATTTGACTGATCTAAAAAATAATCCCAATTTTCATCATGAGAATATACACTGAAATTGCAATCACTGTATACCTATTTCAGATGAGTAGCTCTTTCATATATGCTTTGTTTCTATGATAAAATCCAGTTTGTTCTCTGTTTTAATACAGAAAGTAATTTAAGTATTTCGCGTCAGATTATATATCAGTGGAAAGATATATAATGGTCAGTTGGCAGTGTAATAATGTATCTTTGAAGGATTTTAATTCAAGCCTCTCTGACATGTTCTTATTGTAGAAACAGTTTCAGTTATATTAGCTGAGTATTGTGCTTATGCTGGCAATCTCCTGAGTTACTCTGTAGCTGGCAAAAGAAGTTAGTGTATTCAGGTCATTTAGAAAGATGTACCTAACATCTGAGCTAGTGGGGAGAGCCATGGCTTCTCATCTCCTACATAAAATAATACACATAGATAAAGAATGTTTGCTTACGGATTTAGCTCTGCTCATCAAAGGTATGGCTAACCTCCTATTGATATTCAGCAAATGCACAAAAGGCTAAATCCTTATTCCAAATGAGAAGTCCCCAACCAATTGCTTATTTCAGAGTAGATAATGACTTTCAAAGAGGGTTCTTAATCAGTGGTATGTATATACCACAGGTTACCTGAAAAGATTGTAGGAAGTGGTGTAAGCCACTGATACTCTTAATCCCTAGACTACCATACATAATACCATACATCATATAGTAACAGTTATGCAGTCTATGACCATAATAAAATTAGACTGATTGATAGTAACAGAATGCCTGTAAACACACAAATGTCCTTCTTGGGGAAAAGTGTGTGTTTGTATTATGTTGGGATCCAGGTTTGGTGCTAAAGTAACTAGGGACCAAAGTCTGAAAATCACTTGCTTACAAGATAACCTGACCATTGCAATTTAGCTGATCTTCATGACGATGAAGGTTAGTCTGTAACTAAAGATGTCAATTCTGGTATCTTTTGAACTATACAGCAAGGTTCCTAGAAATTCATTGGTAGAATGAGTATCAAGAAATTAATTCACAGATGGCTAAATATTGTCACTGTGCTCCTTGAGGGATATCAAGTACACTGCAAAAAAAGGACCTGTCAAAAATGCCAGTATAAATGTTAGAAAACCAGTGTTATTTTAATATGCCTAGCTAGCTCCCAGCTCAAAATTTCACACTGTGGTTTCTATGGTTTCAATTACTTCTAGTTCACACTGTGAGGGTGATAGAAGGGGACACTCATCTGGTTCCCAGCTACTGTCTGGACTATAATCTTCTTCTGAACTTAGCTCTGCTCCTTCTTCTGTGTCTTCATCACATGACTCTACATAATGAGCCCCAACAGCATTGATCCCAGAATCCTCAGAACTGGAAGGGGATGAGCAATGATCTATTTTTGGTGTGTTATTCTCTCTCAAAATTAAGGCATTGCGTGTGGGGACCTCCTGGGGCTTCATCTTATAGGAGAGAGCAGGAGGTTGCCTCTGCACATAACACATCTTCCCATTGATGCATTTCACACGGTAATTGTCAATAAAGAGGTCTGAAATTGTGCAAAACCGTGGGGAGTCTGGTGGTAATGGTGCTTGGAAGACAGGTGCAAACTTCAAAAAGTGTTCTGTGAGAGAGACAGCGATCTGAATAGTGTTTATGGTTCCTCGAGGCCGAACAGGTATTTCTGTACTTGGAAGCTGTTCTACTGGAGTCATAGGCTGATAAACATATTTACCTGCAAAAGATATGAAAAGAATTATTAGAATCAAATTTTACTTTAGAAATTAACTAGTTCATGAAAAAAAAATGCTATTGCATGCCAGATGCTGAAAGTGTAAAACAAGAATATGCTTAGCTTATAGGCCTCCTGAAGGCATCTGACTGGCAGCCCCTTAGCTTTTTTCCATATACTTATCATTTGTTTCCTCTCAGTCACAGAAAATAAATATTCTGTAAAATAGGAGATTCCCCCTTCCGCCACCCATCTTGAAATTCATTCATTTTAGACAAACTATTATACAACTAAGCCTTTTGCAGGAGTGTTATTTTTTTTTCTTTGTGCCACCAGGGGCTGTTGTGGCTGCAGTTGTTAACAAGACATTTTAAGACAGGAAATGAAGAGATTTTAAAGCCGTGAAAGCCACTAGTATTCTGATAATTAAGCCAAGTAAGAAGAAAATAGGATTGCATTGACTATGCCATATAAAAGCAGGATCAAGGAAAAGAATATTGAAATAAAAAAGAACCACCAATCAATTGCAAAAGCCAGCTTTACTTGGAACAGCTTACATTCTGGGAGGATCTGGAGTCAGCAGAATAAAAGAGAAAGAACTGGAGAAAATCATAGAATACAAAAACATGCAAATAGGATGGCTGTGGCAAAAGAAAGCAAAAATAATACCAATAGTAACAGGCAGCTCAGGTGCAATCCAAAAACATCAGGAACACCACTTAATACCATCATCAATTGACAAAATCACCATCAGTTGCAAAAGACAGCTTTACTCGGAACAGCTTACATCCTGAACATATCTTTAATACCATCAAACAAAATCTGCCTATCCCTGGTCCTTGGGAAGGGCTCAATACAGTCTACATATCTGGCTGACTGTGCAATGAACCATAATAGAACAGCTGGGAAAGATTACTTTGCTGTTGATACTTCAGGGTTCTCTGTCACCACCAGAGTTGTTCCTTGACTGGCAAGTAATACCTATCAGGGAGCAGGTTCACAACTTGGAGCTCTTTCTGGTCTCCCAGCCCCTGCAGGTAGAAACTGTGGCCAGAGGGCATTCTGCCCAATTTTGGTAGTACATCAGTTGCAACCCTATCTGAGGTAGAAGTGTTTACCTACAGTAACTCGTGTTCTTATTATTACCTAGCTGAGCTACTGTAACATGTTATAGTTGGCTCTATCCTTAAAAACTAGTTAGAAATTACAATTGGTCCAAAATGGATAGTCGCACATGCTTTCTGGCATTGTTAGGAACATATAATATTGATTTTGCAGATCCTGCATTGGTTGCTAATTGGTTTCCAGGTACAATTTAAAGTACTGGTTTTAAATTATAAATTACTTACTCAGTGCCTGGATATCTGCAGTATCACCTCCTTTAATCAATACTGTCTGAACAATTAAAGCAAAGAGAGGGACACTTATTGTTCCAGCATTTTGAGAAGGTCTGAGCAATTGCAATGAAAAGTGCTGCTTTTCCATGGCACTTTGACCCTATGGAACAGCCTCCTAGTTATATTCAGAGTAGCCCCCTCCTTGTTGATGTTTCAGAAGCTTTAAAAGTCAGAGCTGGTCTACTGATTTGATCATGCAATCTTTATTTTCTGTTTGTATCGTTTGTAGCTTTATGTTTGGACAGTATAGTTTTATTGTTTCTATGGGTATTTTTACACCATGAAGGTTTACTTGGGTTTTACAATCTCTGTAAGCAGCTGAGAATCTCTGGATTAAATTTGCGGCAGGAACAGGGGTGAAATGCTCCCGGGTCGGACCGGACCGTCTGATCCAGTAGCGATGGAGGCGGATGGTTCAGAGAACCGATAGCAAAAATCCCTGCCCCCCCCAATGCCCAGCTGAGCCACACAATCATCAGAGGCTTTTTTTTTTTTTTTTACTTTTAAAAGCGTTTTTTCTACAACCTCTTCGCCGAATAGTAAAAAAGCCTCTGCCGATCAGGCAACTCAGCTGGGATTGTCAGAGCCTTTTGAAAGCATTTTTTTACAACCTCTTCACCGAAGAGGTTGTAAAAAAATGGTTTTAAAAGTTAAAAAAAAAATGGCTGCACCCACCCAGTCACATTACCACCACCACCACCAAGCTACGCCCACAGAACCAGTAGTAACAAATTTTAGATTTCACCACTGGGCAGGAATGTGAAAAATAAATGTAGAGTAGGAGTGATAACTTCCAGAATCTGGAAGCAAGCATGATAAACTCTGCAGAGGCAGCAGTAGGTAGAGATATTTATTTATTTTATTTATTTATTTGTTTAAATTTCTATACCGCCCTTCTCCAAATAGGACTCAGGGCGGTGCACAGCCTAAGTAAAAACAAAGCATACAAAATTTAAAAAACAGTATTAAAATAATTAGATATTCTGGCCGTAAATTAAAACAACCCAATTTAAAACCAATTTAAAATTTAGCTCAAGCCAGCCCAGCTAGTTGAAATAAATAAGTTTTCAGGGCCCGACGAAAAATCCGGAGGTCTGTTATTATACGTAACTGCTGACTTTTGCTTCTTTTAGCAATTAATTATTTTAATTCTAGTCCCTCTGCTGAAGTATTTAGTTCTTTCATCCACTTCCAAAACAGTTTTTTAAAATTTTCATCAAAAATGCTGTATTTTATTTTACATGTATCGTTCAGTTTTAACAGTCCTTGCTCTCTTGGACTACTGTGTGTTCTTTGTACCTATCCTTTCTTTTTCTTCCTTGCGTTTTGCCACAAGTGCAGAGTCTGTTTTTTTTTTCTTTTCCTGGATCAACCAAGTGTCACTGAGCCTGAGTCTCTCATGAACTGAGGCAGAGCAACTGGCCCAAAGTCACCTTGTTGACTTCCATGCCTAAGGCAGGATTAGAACTCATATTTTCTTGATTTCTTACCTAGTGCCTTAACTACTGGAACACCACTACTAATCTCTGTACTCTTTGCAACTATCTCTCTGTACAGAATACACAATGTATTTCTCTTAAACTTAAACTTCATAGCAGCCATTCTCCCTCGTGTATTTTTTTTTCATCTACAGCCTTCTTCACTTCTTAATTCCACCAGCTCTTTTTTTTTCTGGGCCAACTTTTTAACATTTTTTCATTCTTTCTAAACAGCTTCCATATAATCTTTCCTTGTATCCATTTCCATTCATTCTTTTGAGTAATCTTCTAACACATTTTCCTACAAGAGTCATAGTTTCCCTTCCTTTGTCATTCTGCTTTTATCTTTAATTTCTTTCAGTTCCTTTTCTTCCACATCCCTTTTTTCATTCAGTTGTATCCATAACACAGGCACAATTTCCTGCTGACAGGGCACAATACCAGTCCGTTTGTGCATGCTTGGTCGGAATGGCACTGGAATTGTTTTACCCCACACTAGTTCAGTAGAAGGCTCCAATTTTATAATTATTTTAAATAACCCTCATTTTGCACGGTAAGAAAACATAAATCTTACTTTTTTATTTTCAGTAGGAAAGCTCCTATCAATAAAAACAATGGTGTAAGTATTTTATTATTCTCCTTTTAATGGGTTTTCTAAAAAGAAAACTGATTGACGAAGCAGGGGGGAAACTGGGAGGGTTACAGATGGAAAACAACTTTGCCTGAACTACTGTTAAATTTTGTGGGGGGAAAAGAGTATTTGTGTAATAAAAATCTTGTGTGGAAGAACCTGTACAATCACCAAACCTACCACAAATAATAGCATGCAGACTGGGGAATTCTGGGCACTGAAGTCTACACATCTTAAAAGTTGCTAAGTTTGAAAAACACTGATACAGATTGTCCACATGGCAATTATATTTATTCTTTCATTAAAAGAGAAAGATGATAATTGCATCTCTTTACCATCCAACTGATGGCACCACACATTTTATTTCAGACTGGCGAAAGAGCATTCTACACTATCACAGTTCCTTCTTTTTGTTTACAACTGCAAATACTACCCAAATGCCTTTGCTTTTAAGGTACATGTGATAAACAAGTGATGTGGAAAAACAGAAGTTAAAAACTGTAATATATATAAAACCAAAAATGTAGCTCAGTTCAGGGAACTAGAAAAACAGAATAAAAATGTTCTTGTCCGGTGGCAGGATAATGAAGTGGCTGCCAGGCAAGAATCATTGGAAAATAGAAGGACATCCAAATGCAGGGGTTCATCCTCAAGAAGACCCTCTCTCTAATTGCCAGTGAGATATTCTGATGACTGAGGGCATACGGTAGAATACATTTTGATAATGACCCGATATAAATGCATGTTCATTCTGATATTGTAGAACTTAGTAGAAACTAAGGGTATGTTTTCTGATCAGACAGTGGAAGATGACACTGGGAACGTACTGATTCAGAAGTAACTCTAAGAATAGCAGACATATGGCTACAGCTTGTGAAAATCTGGGTTTGTTTATAAACCCCTCCAATAACTAGACAGATAAGCAGCAGTTAATTACTAATGTCTGATTATTTAAAGATGGGCAAATATTTACAAGTAATTGGAAAATAAGTGCAATTTGGAGGAGTATGCTTTTTTCTAAAAACAATCTTTTTCCTGAAACACATCCTGCCTTCCACAAGCCTTTTGTAATTTGGCATAAAAAGGACTGAATATTTTTCATAAGTGAAAACTCTGAGATTCTATGATGTTTAAAAGGATCAATTAGATTATGGGTTCCTGTAGAATAGTCTTCTCCTCCCACCCTGGCCCTGCAATGAAAATATTGTTTTCCAACACAAACATGATAAACACAGCTTCCTTCTCCATAAACAGATGGTTTGTTTTTCGTGTGGAAGTGGCAATTCAATATTGCCCCTCTAGATCCACCAGGAAAAAGTTAGGAAATAATCCAAAGTAACCTACCAGAGAAAATGAGAATTACTGTTTTTGCCCAGAGCAACTTCCATAATATCTCAGATAACACTTTTGCACACTAAGTATGCAAGCCTGAGCTGGAAAACGGTGGATGATTTTATGGTTCTAAAGGAGACACTTTACTTTTTGGATTCAACATAA